ATTTTAACAAATTCAGGGCCAATGACAGAAAAGTTGTAAAACACCTGTCAGAGTTATGAATTTCTAAAAGTTGTTTCAGATTGAGGGTTTGTCTTGACAAAGAGCCAAGGTTATTCTGTTAAAATCAAGGTCACTGACAGAAGAAATCTGTTCTTTTCCAGGCTAAAAACTAGTAAGTGAAAATCATTGGAGGCTCTTACTTGAAACATAGATTACTTATGATTGAAGGTTGTGTCATGTCACCCTGATCAAAGGTCTTTCTGGCAAATCAAGGTCACTGAGAGAGAAAAAATGTTTAAGCATAACTTTGTTATTAAGATTCACTGGAGGCTCATGATGAGAAGAAAAGGTTGTGTACATAAGAAAGTGCAGTGACCTTGACCCAAGGTCGGTACTTCCTTTCCACAGCTCCAACGGAAGACCTACTCGTTGCTTTGCAACGAGCTCGGCTCTAGTTTTCTCTCTTATTCTGAAAGCTCGGAATGTATATATTTTGGGGGCTCCTCCGTGTAAAACAGCATGTATTTAGGTACCATCATGTACCCGTAAAATCGTGTCATAAAGATATTCTTTTTATTCGAGGAAATAAAAGGAATGCATTCGGTACAATGCAATTATAAGTTATGCATCAATTCATGCAAAATTCAAAGTTGCTTCATTTACGATTTTCATGAGAATTGGTAACGTCACTTCCACTTACAATTTACTGTGCCATGTTTATATGTATATTTGCTAATTTAAATAACATCGCAAATTTTTTTGATATAAAGCAATTAGAATAACTTGATATAGGCCCGTATACATGTAACGATTGCAATTCAAAGTGGAGGGAGAGATGGGCCCTAAAAAATCCTCCTACTACACGTGTACCTTTCGGCTTTCCAATAATAGAATCATCCGTACAAATCAAAAACAAGTTGCAGAATTGATATCCCCAAATTTTTTTAAATAACGAGACTATAATGGACTACACAAGGGTAGAATTGAATACATGCGCAAATAAAATCAATTGGCAGAGTTATCGGCTGTCACCCTTCGGTGTAGCCGATGAACTCGTCCATAGATACCACAGCAGATGAGAAAAGCGCGCGTAAACGCAACACCTTTTATTCATTCGTCAAAGAATAGAATCCGACATTCAACACTTTTAAATAATGTTCAAGAAAACCTTTAAATTTGTGTATAGAAACATTCTTACGATTAGCGCAAATGACATATTTTCTTGATCTTAAATCTAGGACTCTAGCAAAAATCAAAGAGCGGTAATGTTGACCTCACGAATGTATACAGGTCAACGCGCGATCGATAAACGGGTTTCATAACCATGTGATACACACAAAACACGCACACTGTACACACGAAACTTTCAGGGTTCGAGGAAAATTCACGATGCATGAATTGAATAACAGTGAATTATCTTAAGCTTGAATTTAAAAAAAAAAAATAAATAATGCTATATTGAATATTAATACTTAAAAAATATTTTAATTCTCTCCCGTCTTGTTCTTTAAACTAAACACAGGGAGAAAGTTGTCTCTGAATAATCTGTATGACATCCAGCTAGAGAATACGTTAAAAATCTTATTTCAACAAAGATTAACATTCAATTTAGCTAGGTATATTATTCTTATCCAGTTAAGTGCAGTTATACGTGTTATACACGTACCCATATAGAATTCTTCTTTACTTGCCATATAAAATCACTTACCTGTACATGAATTATAGTTTTCAGCTCATCTAATAAAACATGACTTGAACAAAATAACGTTTTCATGAGATCAATAAGATGTTAAAGAACCCATTTCAAATCGATAACCATATCGAAATATTTACCGTTTTTAAGTTATAAAGCAAAAACGTTCGAGCGCCCTTGACCCCTAATTTGAGGGGCCAGCCCCTTTTTAATGATGTCAAATGATAGGGCTTAAAATTATGCACAATATTTGTGAAACATGTCTTAACAAATTATTTTTAGTTTAAAAGATACACAAGGAAATAGATGTAAATTTTTTCGCTTTTAGGCATTCTTATTTTTGACCCGTATCTAGCACCGTTTTGAGTGCAGAAATCGAAAAAGAAAAACCGATGTGCACAACTTCAATTCTTCTAGTATTTAAATGCAGTAGACATTCTGCTCCAGCTTTTGTCGTTTCTGAGCCTTTGTCTGGAAACAAACGGCACCAAATTTTCATTTAAAGGGAAATAACTCAAAAGCGGAAGGGAATTTTTGAAATGTATGAAAACATTTTAATTGAGAATTGTAACGTCCACAAACTCTGAAAATCTGAGCGAAATCCGTTGAAAAATGAGCGAGTTACGAGGTCTCAAAGTTGGCGTCTAGGAAAAAAAAAGAACTAGAGCAAAGCTCGTTGCAAAGCAACGAGTAGGTCTTCCGTCCTGTTTGACGGGAAGAAGCTTTCATTTTTAACAAAAATGAGAAATAAGGCCTAAAATGGTTCGATTCCTCTAAAGCTATGTTAAATAATGCAAAAATAAGCTATTTTTGGCTACTTCCGGTTTGACCGGAAGTGATGACGACGGGTGGAAAATTAATTTTTAAGCTCCCAGAGACATATGTTACCCAAAAACTGGTCAAGAACGGCAAAAATATGAGTTTTCCTACTACTTCCGGTTTGGCCGGAAGTGACGTCGACGGACGTGTTATGACGACTCCGATAGATTCAGCTTGACATTTTGAACAACTTTGCTTTTTTGAAGTATTACAAATTCTCAATACTTTTTGAGATATAAAGAAAATACTTTCGGCCCCTCTTGGCCCTTAACTCTAGGGGCCAGCCCTTTTTTCGAGATACCATTCGAAAGATCGTGGAATTCTACACTTCTTTTGTTCTACATATTTTAACAAAATATTTCCAGGTAAAAAGCTATCGTAGAAAAGGTGTCAAAATTTTAGAAATTCGCGATAGGACTATTTTCGGGCCATAACGAGCTTCCGTACATAGCAATGTCGGTGAATATGAAATACGTTCCGCACAACTACATTTATTGCTCTATTATCACTGAAAATCTCAAGTTTCTATCTAAAGCCGTTTTCGAGAAAACTCGCGGACAAAGTAACACTCTAAAAATCACTAAAATGCTAAAATCTCGGAACCGGAAGTGACGTCATCAAAATAAAAAAATATATGTCTAGATTTTTTCATGTTCCATCTGCCCTGAAAGTTTCATGAAAATCCATCGAGCCGTTTCCGAGAATCGCACAAAATCGGTAAGAAAAAAAAAAGAAAAAAACTGTGGAAAAGAAACCTAAGAATAACAGAAAGGTCTTCCGTTGGAAACGGAAGACCTTAATAATAGGGAATAATCTTAACCATCAGAATCAGTAGAAGGTCTTCCGCCTGAGCGGAAGACCTTAAAAAAATTCATATCAAATAATTAAGAGCTAATGCCGGCCTTTCAATGCTGAAACCATTGTTTAAAAAGGATGACTCAAAGATCTATAAAATAAAAAATTGGTGTGGCATTCTACCTTAATAACCCAAGAAGAAAAACAGATATCCAAGAATTCATGTTTTATTGTGGGAAGGGGGTGTCAAGATTATTTAAAGAAAAATTGGTTTGGACTCAAATCGCATCAGATACTGTCAATGGTACGATATTGGGATACCATGAATAAAAAAATAATAGAATACTGATCTACCCGTCTATATTCAATTAAGATTTTTAACTCACCTCAACAAAGTTGGTGCAGCTTATGTAACATAGGCGTCGGAACCGGGGGGGGGGGGGGCTAGGGGGGGCTTAGCCCCCCCCCCCACTTTTTCTCCAAATATATAGTTAGTATAGACTTAGCCCCCCCCCCCCACACTTTTTTTCCAAAGATACACTTAGTATAGACATTGAACATTGTTTCGTAAGTTTAGCCCCCCACTTTCCACAAACACGTCGGTCGCAGTATAAGTAAAAATGGGGGAAAAGGTGGTGTTTGGAAAAAAGTTTTGTTATTGAAGTTCGAATTTAACCCCCCCCCCCCTCCCAATGCAATTTCAGCTAAGGAATACTCAGGTTAATGTTTTTGGAGCAGGTTAACTATTTTGGTGTAGGTCTCATTTCCAAGTAACTATAAGCCCTATGTTGACCAAACTTGCATAGATGGTACATCTAAGGAGGCAAACTACCAGACTTGCTTCGGATGCTGAATCTGACCTACTTTTTCCGCATGAGTGAACAGGTTAATGTTTTTGGTGCAGGTCTCATTTCCAAGTAACTATGATCCTATTACGATCAAACTTGCATTGATGATACCTATAAGGATGCATACAACCTGGTTTGCTTCTGATGATGAATTTGACCCATATTTCCGGGTGAATGAACAGATTAAATTTTATTGGTGCAGGGTTCATTTCCAAGTAACTATGAGCCCTTTAATGACTAAACTTGCATGGATGATACATGTATATAAGGATGCACACTACCAGGCTTGCTTCGGATGCTGAATCTGACTACATCTTCTGGATGAATGAAAAGGTTAGGTTTTATACAGATTTCATTTCAAAGAAACTATGAGCTCTATGCTGAACAAACTGGCATGGATGGTACATCTAAGGGTGCATTCTATTAGGCTGGCTTGGGATGCTGAATTTGACACTTCATATGAACCATGCAGGTAAAAGGCTTTCACCAAGAAACTATATGGCCTATATCAACAACACTTGCACAAATGATGCATCAAGGGATGCAAATCTCAAACTTGCTTCAGATGCTGAATTTGAATTATATTTTCTTGATGGGCGACTAGTTTGAAGTTTATTGATAGGTCTATTCCAAAGTAACTGCAAGCCCTATGAGATCAAAATTGCATAAATTTTGGAAGCACACTTTTAGAATGTTTGTTAATTGTGTGACTTAGGCTTAGTTAAAGACAACATTTGTTGAGATGAGCTCTGTAATCTCTGATTACCAATGTTTTTTTTTCATACCATTTAGAATGAAGCGCACACATGCCACCATTTTGATTATTTTGTTGTCTTTGTATTCAGGGTCATACCCCCACGTAGAGCCTTAGACCAAGACATGACGGGATTCCACGCTAAAGATTACATCGACTTTCTGGCTTTACTCAGTAAACAGAGCGACGAGGAAAAATACGAAGAAGAGAGTGAACAGTATGGACTCAGTAAGCGTGTTTATTATCATTAGGTAACCTTCACATTTTATTAAACCCATAGTTTTTGAATTAAATAAAAAATTTCACTGGTCAAGTGGACCAGTGATTTAGTGAAATTCACTGGTCCACGCAAATACTCATTGGTCCATCACCATACATATTAAAAATCCTGAAAATTTTTAATTCCAATTAGGTATCATAATCTACTGTATACTGGGTTATTTTCGCCCCATGTTATTTTCGCCCTTTCACACTTGCAAACAATTTTAGCCTGTTTTAAATTCGCCTGGTCATCGTTTTGTTTAAGAAATTATACCTTATTCTTTGAATTCGCCCAAATGAGGGTATGGTGAAAGGGGAGAATATTTCCCTGTATACAGTACTTTTTGTTGTATGATCCAATATTCGTTGTATGTAACTATAAATATTTATTGTCATCTGATTCATGAATATGTTTCACTTTTACTAAGTAAAAGTTCATTAAAGAATAAATAATGAATAATTTTTGTGCAAGTGAAATAAACAAAATAAGTTTATGGACTTAAACTTTATTTACCCAGTGTTCATATATTGTACATTTTACATCTTTACATAATCAATGCCTTGGGTTTTTCCCCATTTTGTTTTGCAGTCACTGAGACTTCTAATGACAATGATACACATTTTGTAGTATTAAGCAGTTTTTTTTAATTACAAACAGGTAAAATATTGTTTACATGTATTTGATTTTCTTCACTTTACCACTATCCCACTGAGCCACAAAGAGGTTGTCTCTGGTGTCTACACATAAACCATATGGACGCCATAGATCACAGTTATCAATGTAACGAAGGAACTGTCCGTCCTGATCTAGGATGTTGATACGGTGGTTGTTAAAGTCTGCTGTCAGGATCTGACTCTGGCTGTCTGTTGTGATGCCGACTGGATCAAATGATACCTTGTTAGTAGAGGGATGACCAGTGTATCTGAATCGGAGTTTTCCTGCCTGATTAACCACCACTACTGCACTGGCTCCATTGTCAGCCACACAGATATCCAGGTTCCTGTTCTCACTGATGTACTTAAGGTAGTTAGATGAATACAGAGGTTTACCTTCACTATCAAACTGAATGGTTTGTTTCTCTGTGGAGCCAGAGTAACGGACAACTTTTGTTTGTTTATAATCATCGCTGTTCATGGTAACTAGGAGGTCACCAGAGGAGGTACTACAGACACCTTTAGGTCTCCACCCCTGTAGTCTGATCACTTCCTGTATCTGCTCATTCTTCACCATGTTTACAGTTCTTGTATCAGGGTCAGTATATAGTAGATTTCCATTCTTTGTCACTGCTACGTCACTAAGTTCATTCCCAGACTTGGTTTTGATTGACTTCAGTAGTTTACCCTTGATGTTGTAGAGTTTCAGGGTTTTGTCATTTCCACATGTCCAGATTTCTTCATCACTGAGACTGGTCACACTGTATAGTAATCCATACCCAGTGTTTATGGTGGTGTTGAGCTCTGGTTCATCAAGCAGTGGTTTGACTGGAGGACAGGATATAGATTCTGGTGTCTCCGTTGTGTAGCCATGTTCTTCTGTTGTAATGGATAATGCTGACAGAGAACCAAACATTTGATGGAGTTGTTCTGTGTTGATCTGGTGAGGTGAGAAACTTGGTAATGAAACATTGACTTTAGGAGGTAAACTTCTGAATTCAGCATTCCTTGATTTGTATGCAGAGGTTAGGGAGACATTATTGGAGTCCAGAATTTTCTTTAGATCTTCTATGCTCTGTTTTACTTCAGAAGTTATTTGTTTGATTTTATTTTCTTGTTTATTTAGAGCAGCCAGGTGTTTAGTTTTCATCTCATCAATTTCAGATTTCTGTTTGTTGACAATGATATTAATTTCTCTGTGCCAGTCTTCTCCATGTTTGGTGACAGCTGATGTCAGATTCTCATAATGCTTTTCCAAGTTAAGTTTTTCAGAGTTTAGATCTAATGAAATTTCTTCATATGCAGGATAGATTCTTTTCTCTAATTCTTGTAAGTCATTTTCTAAACCTTTTGTTTTGGAACCAAGTTTTTGCAGTGCATCTGTGAACTTATGCCCATGATGTTTATCAGAGGTGATGCAGGTAGAACAGACAGGAATGTCACATTTCTCACTGTAAAGTTCACAATGTTTCTGGGTGTGGTTTGGACATTTAGGGTAGTGAGGGGTAGATTTTCTGTGTTTGTATGGTACAACATTATGTCTTTTAGATGAATCAGAGAGATGTTCCCCTACACAGGCCTTACACAGGTTAATCTGACAAAGTTCACAATGACTCTGTAATCCAGCTGTATGACACAGGTCACAAAGGAGGATGTCTTGGGCACTGTAACGGAGATCCATTATAGTATTCTTCTCAAATGTCCAAGTCTATATGATGCTGTAAAATAAATTTGAATTCTGATATCTAAGTTCTGTTCGTTATTTCCATATCATGCTTTAGGATATTCTTTGTTATGCTTTGTTTATTAATAATCAAAAATAAAAATATCAATCAATTGATAAAAGTGAAAGATTTTTATAATATGATAATAAATTATGTGTAATGATGATGGTAAATGATTGCTTTGTGTAAGAAATTTTTATGAACTAAAGGATGAAATCCAGTTTATATAGAAAGGATGCTTGAAATTAATGAAAATGGAATGAAAACTAAAGAATGAGGATAATGAATAGATTTTGTTATTGTGGGGCTTTTTCTAATTATAGGAAATTTCTATAGGTTTGTGTTTATACATACTAAAAACTGTTTTTGTCACGTGACATTGTGAAAGAATATGTTTCTTAAGATCAGAGATTTTAAATAAAAAAAATTCACAATATAGTTATGCATGTGATTCTATTAAAAATTTAACATGGCTTACGTATTACATACAATTGTGATCTCAATTTTGACCTTAAAGCTGAACACTACTCGTAAATAGGCATAGTCCGCCATATTTCTCGTTCTTCAACGCTCTCCCTACAACTCGTATATAAGGAGCAGATCTCTAGTCAGTTCAATGTACTCTACTATAGAGATCCGACGAGTGCAGACGTACATCTTGCAGAGCGTGCTACTCAATATCGTTGAAATTATCAAATTTTACGTATTTTTCTAAAACAGGACAAAAGTATCATGGAAAATACAGGCTAATACATTATTTACAAACAGAAAATGCACATAAAAACAAGAAATAAACGTAAGAAATCTAAGACAACGATAGGAGTAATACATGTCGGCCACGAGTTTCAAGTGTGCAATCGGGTGTAACGAAAGCGAGCGGTTTACATACCCGTCTGACAGTGCCAATTTATGAGAAGTGTTCAGCTTTAACATGATAAGACCTACATCGTCATATATAATCCTATATTGTTCCCTTTTCAAAGGATTCAACTTTTTACTAAAACATTAACTTTAAAAATTCAGGTATAAGATAAGTTGCACAAAGAGATGTTTAATTAAATGATGAAATAATGGCTTACCTGTAAAATTCAACATGGTTCCCTATAGCTAACGACTGTCTGACAATCTACTTCCTGGGTGTCGGCCTGATGCTAGGTCATGTGATCTAAACACCTGTATATGCTAAACCATGTGAATTAAAACCTGTTTATGCTAGGTCATGTGATTTAAATACCTCTTTATTTATAGTTCTTTAATAGACTGGTTAAATGTATGTCTGTACCCCATGGAAGAAAAATCACAATTGAATTTTTTTAAATTTACATTTAAGTGCTGTTAACATGGTTAAAGATACAATGAATTTTCACAGTAAGTTATATTGTAGTTGAATAATAAATTAAACATGAAAAACATAGTTGGGGGGGGGGATTACTGAGGGATAACATGGCACCCTGTTTCAGTTATTATGCTAGGGAGACAATTACAGATACAAGTATCTGTGGGAAAGAAAATAAGATTATCCATGTCTCCAATAAAACCAGATTAAAATCCATAAAATGCATTCTATTCAGATTGGTAAATATGACATTTCAGTGCAGACATTAATATAAAATTAGAATTTTTTGGTCACCTGAGTAACTCTATCTCACTCCACCATTTTTGTCTGTTGTGCGTCAAGTTTTAACATTTGGACATTTTCAGCATCGTCTTAGAACAGCTGAACCAGTGCCAATCAGATTTGATGGATGGTATCAACTGTAGAAGCACAAATTTTCGTGGGGATTAAATTTCGTTGATTTGTCATTAAAAGTAGTTTCGTGGGCAATTAATTTCTTTCTTTCGAAAGTAAACCTATTCAAAATAAATTTCATGTGGGATTTAATTTTGTTGTAATTGAAAACGAAATTTAACCCCAACACCCCCCCCCCTTTCGGATATTTGTGCTTTTACAGTATATGTGAGAAACAAGAACTCTTAATTTTATATCCCCTGGGTCAAGGATTCTGGTGTTTGGGTAAAGACTGTGTTAAATATGTAGTGAAAAAGCTTTATTACTTTGAAATTTTGAAGAAAAAAAATCTGCTCCTTGGCATATTGGGCACGTTGGAGGCAAACAGAGTAAAAGTTTTAATATGCAAGGGAACAAGCAGTGAAAGTTTAGTGCTTTATGTTGAACAAAGATGGAGTATATATGCATGTACATGCTAAATGATATAAGATCTGTTGATAAAATATGGTTTGTTTGAATATTAACATGTAAGTGGCACATGAAGCTAGAACAATGTCTCATGCTTTTCATTTGGTCATATACAGTAAAACTCGGTTATAACGAAGTCCTCGGGACCTGTGAATGTAATTCGCTATATCCCTAATTCGTTATATCCTTATAACGAATTCGTATAACCATTATAGTGAATTCGCAATATGCATGTTTTCCTTCAGGTATTACTACCAAATATTTTAGGCAAGTAAATATTACAAAACATATCTTCGATAACTAAGGTTTTATTATGAATTGAATTTTATATACAAATGCTAAAAGGAAATAAAGTCAGTTCAATTTATCAAATTTTTTATAATCTTGGAAAGTTCGTTATAAAAGATGTAAATTTCATTGTATTTAACCACAACGGGACTCAAAATCAGTTCGCCATATCCGTAAATTCGTTGTATCAGATTTCGTTATAACCGTAAATTTTTACAAAGATTTGTTAACAATATTGCCGGGAACCCAGGAAAACTTCGCTATATCTGTGAATTCGCTATATCCGTATTCATACTAAACGAGTTTTACTGTACTGTACAGTATTCTTCAGGTGTAATATTAGCTTACTAGGGTTTCTGTCTAGACTAAGACAAGGTTACCTTAAACTAGCCGACTTAATATCCACAAGATATTCAGAGAGAATTGAGCTTATTGTGATCTTGACATTTTCTCACTTTTTTTATGAAGCAAGTTCTATTAATTTTTTTTGTTGACCTTTTCAATTCTACTGAAGAGATAGAGGAGGTTTTATACAATCATCT